TTGACACCTCCTCAGGAGTTACCGAAGTATTCCTGCAATGAAGGCATACCAACGACGTGTCGTTTCTAAAAGAGTTTGTCGAGAAATTTCAATTTTTAATTTGTTTTCAAAATGGAAAAACAACTAGAATAATTTCAGTGCATGTGTTTTTGCTAATAAAGGAGCGCTTTATAATGTAGGGTCACGCTAGGCTGTAACATGGATCACAAAAAAATTTGCAGGGATTGAAACTGGGATTGTTGGATGGAAATGCGCATAATTCATGCAAAATCACCGAAATACATTTCAGAAACTATTAGGTCCGCATTCATATATATATATAGAACGTTCATTGGCAGCGCAAAAACTGTGTAAAAACAAGTAGTGCAATCAGCAGGGACCTAAATTAACACGAAAGAGATTAAAAGCTGAGTAACCCGAAAAGTTTTCTGTGAAGATATTGTGAATATCCTTGGTATTTCCTCCATTTTTAAATTCTTGGCGAATTTGTGATTTACCAAGGCGACAGTTTGCTACTTTTATACAAACGGCGATTGAATTGCAATGGATTATCAGCACATTACAATGGCCTTCAGTTTTTGCAGAGACGGTAGCAGAAATCGGTCGCTTCTTTGGGAAGTCTTGAAACGTAGCCTCGGCTGGAGGGTGCAGAGGAATAGTGAGGAGCTGCATTTATTCCAGTATTTTCCTTTTTATTTACACCAGGCAAATCGCGCTTCTCACATAAAGCCATTTTTCATAAATCAAGAAATCCCTCATCTGATTATTTATAGAAGGATCCCTATTGAACTGCCTCTATGAAATAAAATAATTTTAGTCACTAATTTAAATTGTAAATTAATTAAACATGCTTTAAATTCGTTTGATGTTTTTCCCCCATTTCGGCAATGCCTAATTAGCCTGAAAACGGATAAAATGCTAAAATTTACTGACTCTCAGATAATCTAAAATATGAATTTAGTATTTATGACAAAAATATATCAAAAATGTATAGACAATTTTGAAACCTGCGTTAAATACGTTCGAAAATATTGATGAACTCGGAACCTTTTATAGAAGCACTATCGTTTGGTTTTAAATTATTGACAAACTGCAGAAAATGTTTTCAAATATTTGAAGAATCTACATAGAATTTTACAGCGTTGACCGGAAAGATTTCTTTTCCCCACATGAGCAGTAAAATAACGAGAGATTTCAAAGCCAAAAAAAAAGAACAACACGCAATAGAAAAAGTTATATCCTGAATATAAAATAATTGATTACAAGTGTATTATGTATATATATCAAAGTATTATGATATAAACCAAAAATTGAACGAGACAAACACATTAGAAGTCCCTAAAAAACAAGACAAACGAATGAAAATATTTGCTTACAATAGGGAATCCGATATGCATGTCTAACACGCAGTTTAGCGTACGCATTTCTCGCTGGTATACGAATGATCGCGTGCAGAAATACCTCAAAAACCTCCTACATACTGTAAATTCTTTGCTGTGTAAAACGTCATCCAGCGCTGCCTCACTGCCACCACGTGCAATCCTATGGTTATCATCATGCAGTATCGTCCCGAAGTATGTAGATAAGGCGTTGGGTACTTGACTATGCAATATTCCAGTAGAGTGCTGGACTCATCTCATGCGGATATGCCTGCGTCGTATTTTCCTGAGGCATCTCTCGAGTTTCGGAGACGACGGTTAGTTGACCGGAGCTCATTTCTCGAAAAACCGAATCATAAACCAAATTTTGATTCATTTCTAGCTCATTTCCGGAGGTAGTAAATTTAAAATTTTAATCTCGTTTATCATTATATTGTGATGAAAGAACGAATTGGAATGTGATATTAAAGAACACATTAGAATATAATAATTACACCCGACACGAACGGACACGAAAGAGTTCATTAAATTAAATGTTTACGAAAATATTCCGGTTTTTCACATCATGAGTGAGAAATTTAAAGACTACGTCTCACAAATGAAGGTGTATTGTGGGAGCTCTATTACAATGCAAGTGGCACAATATGGCGCTGGCAAGAACCGCAAGTTTTCTTGGTCGGGAATGTGCGAGACGCATAAGTGATAGCTTAGCTGCACATGACACACCGGAATAAGACTATTCTAGCCGAAAATAACAGATTTATGCTACACGCATGGTTCGTTTCAAATCTATTCCACAACTTTTGCAGTATTTCGGTTTCAGAAGCTACATTAACTGAGAAATAACCATTTTTGCGTTAAAGTAACGACGTTAACGGTAAAGTGTAGCAGTAGAGACGTTAAAGCAAAAATGAAGTTCAATACAGCGACCGCTTTATGTCTAAACCAGGAAGCCGATAGAAGAAATAAAAATGTAGATTGTCTATATCAATTTTTTCCAAAGAGCAATCTTCCAAAGAGCAATCTTCAATTTTGTATTTATTTCTACAATCAATAATGCCACATTAATATTTACAACTGAACTCAAATCACTCCTAGCTTGTACTATTTTCTCAAAAGCTATTGGCATCGACAAAAAAATTGTTCTTCAACTGCGGCGATCAGGCAAGTGTTGCGCCAACTAAGAAGCAGGAAAGCTTCAAACTCAGACCTCGGACGACACGAGTCCTGACGAGACTTAGTTAGTGTCATCAACTCGGGCTGCAAAGATAAAGTTGACCTGACAGATTAACATGGCTTAGTCGTGGTATTAGATTATTCTGGCTTAGGCTTGCTGTTATCAAAGTGTGGCTTAGAGAGCCAGCCAAGTCTTGCTTAGCCATGTTGCTGGGTTAGCCTCACATAAACTTGGTGTTAGCTTAGTCTTGCTTTTAGCTTTGTCTTGCTTAGCCTTGTTGCTAGTTTAGCCTTGCTTAGCCTCGCTGCTAGCTTAGCCCTTCTAAGCTTTGCTGCTATCTTAGCCTCGCTTGGCCTTGCTGTTTGCTTGACCTGGCTTAGCTTCGCTCATAGCATAGCTTCCTTAGCTTTGTTATTAGCTTAGTCTGGCTTAGCCGTGCTGTAAATTCATCCTTGCTTAGCCTTGCTGTAATCTCATCCTTGCTTAGCCTTGCTGTAAGCTCGTCCTTGCTTAGCCTTGCTGTAAGCTCGTCCTTGCTTAGCCTTGCTGTAAGCTCGTCCTTGCTTAGCCTTGCTGTAAGGCCTAGCCCTTATATTAGCACCAGAGCAGGAGTTACGGCTCGCTTCATGTTGTATGCTAATAGTGAACCAATAAACTCTGACTCCATCCATCACTTCGAGACCGTCCATCGTCTAAATTTTTGTCCGTAGTGCTTAAACTAATTAACCCTCTACCGCTTGACGCGAGTAGCCGGAGCATTATTGTCACAAGCCTACTGCCCAAAAAATACGTTATTGTAAGCGCAAATGTACTTGCACTGATGGTTGCCGCCACGTACGACAACCTTAAAATGTTCTCTGTTGCGCACAAACGTCCTCAGGCTGCTACACTCAATAGTTTACGTATAATTTAACTTGAAAGTAATATACCGGGATAGTGACATACGGCGGTAGAGGGTTGAGAGCGAAGGATGAAGCCGACAGCAAATGAAAATAGATTGTTCAATGAATACATTACGGTGAAAAGCAGCGATTCATCATGAATTCAAAGCAAAATTTGATAAAAAAAATCATATACACAGGTTTGCAAGAAAATGTAATTACCTTTTTGGATTAGAAAGTGAAATAAAATCATAAAATGTAATAAATTACAAAAGGTTAGAGTAAATAACAATTGCTATTAATTACAAATTACAAATAAATCAATTTTGCTCCTAATAAGCAATTCTAATTTTGGAACTCAATCCCGAAGTCCGTGTAAATTAGCATGAGCCAGCTGAACCATTAATTAACAAGGGTCATTAATTGCAATTATGGCCCCAATTAGGCTGAGCTCGCCAGACGGGCCTACGAAGAACGAGCGACGCCATTATTCTGATCTAAATAAAATCTATTATTTTCCAATTATTCCTTTATTTATTCATTTGATAATTCGTGAACACTCTGAATATTTTTCTCATTCCTAAAGGATTAATTCCTTGCAAAAAATAGCGTGGAATCAAAAACCAAATCTCCTACCAAATCTAATTTTCAGCTGATGTAGCAGCGTTCTCTGTAAATTAGGGTACATTTATCACACGCAAATGTTGATGTATGATTAAACAAGGCTGACATTTCACTATAGGGAAGGATGGGAGGGAGCCTAGGGCAACAAGGAATGCTACTGGGTTTATTATTTTTCAAAAATTTATTAAATGAATGTTTGTCTTTCAAAATGCACGCCCTCAACTAATCTAAAATAGCTAATGATTATAATGTGAATCTATATATTTATACCGCCGTGATTTAAAATAAGTATTCCTGAAAATATTGTATCAATATTAATCTTTGAAACCCAATAATGAAATCTAACATAAATAAAAAATGCCAATAATTGTACCGTACTTTAAAGATTTCGCTTACAACAAAATGTTTTTTTTTTCTGAAATTTGCCTCAAAGATTGTTAAGACATAACATCACTCTACTGCAATAAATATTTTCTTGATATTATGGAGAGAACGGCATTGTTAGGTAATGTTTAGTCGTGATTATTGCAGTAAGAAAAAAAATTCATTGAAGAGCCTCGAATTGCGGACAGGAATTTTATTCTTTTCATTGAACATAAGATCATGAGCAAATATGGTCTCAAGTTCAAACATTCTAATTAAAGGCACAATGGTATTAATTATTATTGATGCCATCGATTTCGTATTTCAAAGTTTTAATGAAAAAATTCAAATCCAATAAAAAAATGAACGCATTAATGTACCAAGTTGTTTCTATTCAGTCACGAGGGAAGTTAGTGGCGAATAAAAATTTCTCATTGAAAGTTCTTGTAAAATTAAATTAAGTTCTCTGCATTTAAGTTTAGTAATTTTTATTTAATAGTTATTTTGTATTTAAATTTATATTAAAAATACCAATATATATTGATAAAATTCGGTAGACCTAAGATATGAGCCTACCTGAAGTTCGGCGATCTGTCTGGTGGAGAAGCGCGTGATGAAGGAGTCCTCCCTCTTGAGCGGAGGCTTGACGCGGTTCATTGAAGACGACAAAGCTCCGGACAGTTGAACGGTGGTGCGCAGCTTCAGCCAACGCTGGTTCGATTTCATCCTGGACCATAGAAACAATTGTAAATTATTTGGAAAATATGAAGGCTGATTTGAAATCGGAATCATTTTCGACAGCTTCAGCCAATGCTGGTTCGATTTCATCCTGCACCAGAGAAATTTGTAAATTATTTAGAAATTATAAATGCTGATTTGAAATCAGGAGCATTTCCGAATTTAGATGAAGTGCGTCCTAATGATGAGTTGTTTTGAATATTATTAACATTTTTTTGGAAATGCATTAAAGAAAGATTTAGAAATAAAGAAGTTAATTTTATGAATGGTATATAATATTTTTAGATTTTACTTGCAGCGCCTTGCCATGCGACGGCATTTAAGTGAATGGCACAGGAATCTTGTAAGTCAAAATTGATTTAACATAATTGAGAGTCTTTTCACTCCATCCGATTCTGCAAGCCAAGATTTTAATAAAAATGAAACTCAGTGTAGAAATTAAGGTTCTCGTGCCATATTTTGATTTCAAATGAATACTAATGCGGAAATGGAAATAATTTTGAAAAAGTAAGATTAATTATATTATTATATTGTTGATGATAGATCAAAAAAATATTCAATATAAGTGGCGACTTTTGTGCAAAATTCGAGCACGTTATTATTGTTGAAGAGTGGAAATAGGTATGTTAAATTAAAGACCAAAAAAGTTTCAGCCTTAAATAAAAAATATGAGCAAGAATGAACATTTTTGGAACGGGTAATTTTCTCTGGCAGCTGTAATTATAAAATGGTAATTTGAATCAAACCTGTGACAGCAGGAGCTGCTGCGAAGACTTGTTCTCACGTAGGAAAAACAAGTTTGGAATTTCTCAAGAGCAATGGTAAGAAGCCATATATTCATGAGGAAAGAATCGAAAAAATTCAAATTTTATGTACAAGGATTATACAATACTCCTCAAATTTACGAACAATCCAGTACTATAGGTGAGAAGTACCTCAGTGCTTTTCTTCAGAGTACAGAGTAATGAATGTAAACGCATTATCACAAATTGTGTCATGCCAGCAATCAACGCTTAAAATTCATGCGACAATTACAAAGCGGAAAAAAATTTGTTATTAATCATTACAATAGTACTTACAAGCATATTGTACATCTGATCCAGCGTACTCAAACGTTTTACTGAGATAAATGTGCGAACTTTTTCGCTTCATGCTCATTCAATCCAGAAAACAATCAAATCAAGTTTTGTTTTCGTGCATAATAAATACTTACCTAGCAGGTGAGAAGAAATGTGAATTTGATCTAGTACAATCAGGGAATGGAATTAGCAGGCGTTGGTTGAGAAGTAGGACTAATTTATTGCTCTAGTACAGGTTGAGACAGATTGAGAAGAAAAGCTATTTTAATGCTCTAGTACAATCAAGGTTTAGAACTAGAAGGCGTGGGTTGAGTCTATAAGCAAGTTTATTATTCATGTACATTTTAGGTTGAGATTTAGCAGAGTTGGGGTGAGAAGAAAGGCGAGTTTAATATTCTCGTATATTGAGGTATATATTTATAAAGCGAGGTGCACATTATGGGTGAGGTTTCACAGCAATGAAAGGGAAATTATGTTTTATTTGACAATAATAATATAGCCAATAGATTAAAAATTTAATTTATTGTTTACATTCAATTTAGTTAGTCGCAAGCTGTGAGCTTGATAATTTAAGAATTTAAGAAACTTTCTGCTGCTCTCTAGTTTTAAATCCTGAATTTGTTTATAAGGAAACCTGTGGTATACAAATAGGTATTTTATTTGTCGTCCAGTGCCCGCTAAAATTGTGTGTTCAGTTATTGTTTTACTGGAATTCTAAACATTGAAAATTCTGTACAAATTTTTCTGTAATGGAAAGTTATCTTTTGAATATTAAGGAAGACAAAATACAGTAGCATTCAGCACATTTTCCTGATCACACATATTCCCAAATGTGGCCTCCAGCTGCACCACCGCAAGGGTCGCAATAATAGACTTTTTGATGGCATCATATACGCTTCATGGCTGTCTCACGAGCTCGTCCATCTTTTGGATAAAGTCGTAAATTGAAGAGTGTTGGCCCGCGGCAAAGAACAAACCACATAAATTCTCCTCTGTTTCCTGATACCGCAATGTAGGCATTTGTCGCGATCGCACCTCCATTTCTCAGGTCGTTTTAATGCAGTGCCTTGTGTCCATGTGAAAAGCGAGGTCTGCTTTATTGATGTCGTTGGTCGTGCGTCTAGTGAACTAAAGAACATTTCCCGCCTCGGTTTCTTCATTAAATGAACAGATACAAAGTACAGAATATCGAAGCACTAAAGATACGTGGGGACCTGTTGAGATCACGCCATGGTACTGAAGGACTAAGAAAACTAATATATTCAAATTGTGTTGTATAAATTTTGGTGTGCAATGTATGATGGCAATCTACTTTCGCTGCACAATTAATGTCGAAATAGATTACTCCTCAATTTTATTTAAGCGATGTGACTCAAAAACTAAGAAAGTTCCCAAATATAAATGTTAGAACTGAATAACGAAGAAAAGGTGTATAAAAATCGAAAAGTTCCAACCCTGGAAATTCTGAACAACTTTTTACGACTCTACAGCATATTTTTAGGAGGCAAGTAGTGAAAATTTCGGAAACTTGTACTAAGCATAGTGAACCAAGTAGGTAATAAGAAAAACATGTATTTTATTATTAGTGATCAGATTTGTAATTTGAACCAAAGCTACTGCGCGATTATTGTAAAGTAATTCATTGGTACCTGGAGTTAATGTATATACTACACTACAATTGTTTGATTTAGTTTTATCGGTGTAGAAAGTTCGAAGGAAATAATTTAGAAATATGTTCCTATTTGTTTGGATGCGGTGACAAATTGAAAGCATTCTTTGCATGGTGAATTTTGAGAAACTCACGAGTACATTTTTAAGATATTGAACATTTTTACTTTAGTGAGCATCAATCATGTGTAGTGTAATGTGTGTAAATAGATGTGTAAACATAAGGGTGCATTCATGTTCAGTGCCTTAATTTCCTTATTGTTTGCTTATTGCCATAACGAATTTTTAATGAGGCTGCCGTGGAGCGCGGTAGGTCAGTTTAGATGCTTTTATTTGGAAACTAATCGAGAAGCTTTGTTGTATAAAGGTTATGGTTGTGTTAACCATAATTATATTGAGCGAAACGAAGCGAAAATGATAGGTTATTTCTCTTACGTATTAAAAAAGTTAGAAGTTCGTACAGTTGGATTAAAATGTCTCATCATACAAATCAGGATTTACAATATCATTAATCGATTGAAACGATGTTTATCGTCGCAAATCCGTTGAGTCGTGTGTGCTCAAATTATATAAATATTTCATTATATAAATATTCAAGAGTATTGTCTCACTTACGCTAGTTCGAACGACTGTTAAGCTAAATAAAAGCGAGTATCTATAACAAAACTTCTAGGCGTGTTTCTACTAATAATTTGAAACCTATAGCTTAAAAATGCTACGTGATATATGTTTATCCATCCGCAAACGGCTTTTCGATTGACTGAGACGCAATGTTACTACGCTGAACTGAAATCCTGAGAAATGAAATTTTTTTTCTACGATCTCGTGTACCATTGCCAAGTACTAAATTGTTGCCCTTGTTTTTCCCCTCGTGGCTAAATGTCGTCGAGTGTCCTCGAAGCTCCCATAAATCTTCCATCAAGGAACGAACAAAATTAAAGTCCAGCTTCCATCCAGTGACGAATTTCGTAACCCACTCAAGAGTTTGTCTCTTTCGTGAGAGTTTCTGACAAGTTTGTGATTCCATTTTTTTGTTAATGAACTTACTGCTGAAAGTTTGCTGCTCTGTTTCATCACTGTAGATTAGGGAGATGAGAGAATACTTGTAGCTGTGAAGCTCAGTCCTCGTCAGCCGTGATACTAATGAACGTTAAATTTATATTTATGGTTAATTTACTATATTTTTGTTATATGTTGAAATAATTGGATAGAGTAATTTATTCCATTTTTCCTGATAGAATCTCTACGATATGTCATTTCCGCTATTCAATGTATCATTTTTTCAATTCTATCGTAGGCTCAGAGATCGAATTTATAGTTTTTGATATACCAATAAAGTATGCTTGCGCTGCCTTGAGACGAATCTTGAAGATTACTAACACAGTAACACTTGATATGGACATGCAAAGTTAGTTTATTTCTGTTACACACATGATGAACTAATATCGCATTAAAGACTCGCATTATCTATGAAATGATTTCCTGGAAGGTCATGTACTGTTAAAATGTACTTTTCTCCTCGGTTTTCAGACGATGTCATCGTGAAGTTGTGCAGTCTAATCACAGCAAAAATATTTTCCAAAATTAATTGCCAAATTTTTTCAATTTCAACCCCGATTTTTCCACTTTCTCTAAGCCGTGATGAACAAATATTCTCATTATTGCTGAAAAATAATGACTTACGCTACGAATTTCAAAAAATGTTTCTCGCTGTACATCATTTTATTTGCTGCATCACGTACTCGTCCATTTGAGGTTGACGCCGAGTCCAAGAAGTTCTGTTCATTGCGACTGTGTTCCTCAACGAGAACACACCACGGCGCCGGAGACCTGAAACCTTCGCCAGGGTAGACATGAAGTTGACCTTTTTCACAATCTGGAAGTTGTGACCCGTTCGTTGTGAGGGGAGTGAAGCGTGATTATCTATTATTGTGCGTAGTGAAGAGGTAGTGAAAATTTAGAATTTTTTTCATGGTCCATTTAGGTTAAAATTTGTAGAAATAAAAATACGGAAGGGTTTTGTGTCAGCACCTGTACAGTATATGAAGTGTCTGCACCGCTGTACCTGTAGAGTGTCACCAGCGCTCTAAAGTGTCTAGCTGTACCGCTGTACGTACGCTGCTGCAGGTCTTGTAATGTGTCTGCACCACTGTACCTATTGTAATGTATGAAGTTGACGCGCGTGAAGGCTGGAAAGAACACGGCAGCTCGGAACAGGCTTTATTGGAACCAACAAAATGAA